GGGTGGGTGTTTCTGCCACTGCATGCATCCTGGTGGAGGCCTGGTGGCCACGTGACCCCCCTGATCTGTTTGTGGGGTGGAGGTGGCTGCCTCTGAGTACTGGGCTTTGCGCCGAGCCCTGCTGCAGCTGCCCTGGGAGTGCCGCGATGCCACACGTGTCCCGCCGCTGGGCTAAGCCATATCCCCTGCCTGCCCAGTAGTGGGACACACATGGCATCGTGGTGCTCCCGGGGCAGCTGCAGCAGGGCTTGGGGCACAAAGCCCAGTGCACAGCCACAGCCACCTCTGCCCCACATAGATTGGGAGGGCATGTGCCCCCCAGGCCTCTGCTGGAGTGCATGCAGCAGTGGGAGCCCCCCCCAGCCCCACCTGGACAAGCCACCCGGGCTCCGATTGGTACCAAGCTTGTATACTACCCAGGCTCGATCTCAGTCTGGGGGGCACCGAGCACATGCACACACACAGCTCCCCCAGACTGAGATAGACTGTCAGAGGCTCCACGATCGACCAATCTACTGTAATTGACTGGTTGGTGACTACTGAAGTGGATTCTGATGGGTCATGAAGTCAATTGACTCCATTGGTGCTGCCTGAATAGAAATGCTACTGCTGCTACTCTGGGCAGCACATCAACTGCCCTATTTAAAACATGCTCCTCAATTTTGGAAGGCTAATTTTAGGTGGAGGATGTGTGGTATGTTAGTAAATAAGGCATTACATAGTTGGCTCATCTTGTATAGAAGCACTTACCACCATTGAATAGTACAAGATACTACACTCTTCTGGCTGGAACATGGTGTTTTGACTTGGCATACTGGGGTATCTAACTTTAGTCCTGTATGAAAGCACCAGACCCTAGCAGGCCTAATATGCACAGTTACATACAAGAGGATATCTAGGTTTAAGCATTAAGATTTTTCAGCTATGCCTTCTATTATGGCAGACTGACAGATTTAAACTTGTATCCATTCCTTTTTCCTCTCAGGAACTAGAATAAAAGTCTTAAGTATCAATAGAAAGAAATACCTAGTAAAGTCTTTCGATGCAATAGCCGTTTTGTATTATAATCTTATACAAAGATTCCCATGCTATTCTAAATGGGTCACCAGGAGTAAACTAAACTTTTTGGAGCTGATTCCATTCTTTCTTTAAATTTTTAGGCAGCCTCCACCAGATATTCTTGACAAGCAAGGCAACAACGCCAGGTGTAGGCTTGCCTGGAATTGGACAGACTATGAGGACTACAGCCATCCGAAAAGCAAGTGGAGTGCAGTGAGGGAGGCTAACCATACTTCTCCAGCACCTTTGCAGCCCACTGTAAAGGTAGGATTCTTCCTCTGCCAGGATGGCTGGAAAAAAACACTACAACACACCAGAACTATGGCAGTGGCTTGATAGTCTCCATCTAATTTACCAATTAAGCAAAAGTTACAGATGGAAGTGGAAGGCTGTATAGTATGGCAGCAGTTTAAAGTGGGAAACAATACTCCTGCTCAGGAATCATGCATGCTCTAATTCTAGAGGAAACTTTAGCTGGACATGCAGCCTTGAAATTCAGGTAATCAACATTGCTCAGCCATTACCTTCTAGGGAAATCAACAGCCTCAAAAAATCCTAGCATCTGTAGTGGATTCACAATCCCTTCCTATTAAGGGATCATAGTATCGGCAGTGACAACAATTTATATATTACTGATGCATTAGTAACAAGTAAAACGAGAGAGGCCTTATCTGGGTCTATTTTTTTTGCCCACACAGTACCAGGGCATTAAAATAAAAGCTCCCTAACAGTTAAGAGCCGATGTGGTTGTTGGCAATGGTGGCATTCAGCTGCCAGAAAAGGGCAATCTTTTCCTCCCATTTAGACACTTTTGGGAGGTGAAATCTGAATTAAAGTACCCTTGAATTATTCTTCTACAGCTACAAACATCTGTCTCCGTAGCCAGAACTGGAACTTGGTTTTTAGTAGGAAACTCCTGTCTCAGTGTAGATTCTTGCTATTTATTAAAAGGGAGTTGGCCAGATCATTCTGGGATCATTGCGACTCTAAACATAAGAAATCAACTTTATATGAGATTACATTTATTTCTAAAAACTTGACAGTCACTCATAAGCTGTCTAGCAGAGTCTTGACCTTGAGTGATTTCTGGACAAGATACAATTCACTACATGCATCTCAGACTGCCTTAGGTCCGGGGTTGTGCCAAAACAGATGCTTGACTACTGCCAGGCTGTTTTTCCAGCATGCACACTACTAGCGTGTGGTCATTAAGCTAATTTCATATGGGATCAAAAGCATCATGGATCAAAGTTTTGTGCTTTGTTTACTTAAACCACCCAGCTGCCTTTTCCCCATGTCTAAAAATCATGTCTTGCATTTTCAGTTCCACCCTATTGCTCTTCCTTCAAAATGGTGTTGAGACAGATGACAGAAAAGAAAGCATAGATAATGCATCACTGACTAGTAAACTGACTGCCTCTGACCCATATTTTATTAGGTCTCCTGTACTGAGGCAAAAGAGTCATTCTCTATAAACACTTTTTTTCTTTGTTTTCAACCAGGATCTTGGGTCACAGACAGAAGCTCATTTCTACCAGTAAGATTTTCAGAGAAATTCAGGAGTGTGTGTATTCTGGCCTGATGGCTGGCGAGCTTCTCTGTGGGGCTTCTCCTGGGACCACCCCACCTTTCAGGGATCCCATTAATTCACAGCTTGCTCCCTCATCTGCCTAGGGATGGGGCAGGCTGTCAATCAGCAGTTGGTAGCTGCCAAAAAGCAGCAGTGGACACAGACAATCCTTCCCATCCTGCTAACCAGCTGACTGGCAGGATGGGTATGGAGGGACATTTTCCCTCCCCGTTCTGACTGCAGAATAGCCCCTGACCTTGCACTCTTTTGTGCCAACCTGGAGGGATGTGGTCACGGGGGCCATTCTGCCGCAGCAGCAAGGCCCTGTGCATCTTGCTGCTATAACAGTGGATTGCCTGGACCCGCACCACTTGGACCGACTCGGAGCAGTGTGGGCAAGGCGTGGGCATTCTGCTCCAGTGGGAACCATCCAGGGACGGTTGCCACTGCAGAATTTACCAGTTATGTTGAAAGAGGTGGGAAAAAAAATGTATGCAACTCTCAGGCTGGGTAGGATTATTTGAGGGGGATTTTCAAGAAAAGTTATAAAGTTGGATGACAAGAGCATCAAATAATGAAAGCAAGGATTATAGGGAAACATTACACATCAAAACCTTAACATCCAAACAGTAGATTTACTGTTGTGTGGATGTCCTTTCCAGTTTATTCCATTTTTATTTAGAAGATGCATCGTCTCCTACTTTTACTGCTCTAATAGAGTTGTTACCACCCAGCTATACATTTGCTTTTAGCCTGTCTCCAAGCCTTCCCTTCCTTAACAACCATTTTCATTTGGAAAGCTTCCTCTAAAATAATAGACGTTTATAAAAGCAGAGTGTAAAAGGCTGATGTATTAGCTGGACTTTTGTGGTTTTAAGTCACACATGCAAATGTGTTTTATGTATTTATCCTAGGCCTAACTAAATCTTTATGCGCCATGAGTATGGATGTACCATATTCATGATTGCACAATTTTCATGGAAACCTTTAATTTTGGCTGGGCTCTGTGAACAAGTGGCAGACTTGCTACAAAAACTTACTGAAAATAAAGGAGGAGCCAGCAGTCTTTGTGGTGCTATGGCCTGACTGCTCAGACCACCGGTGGGGGGGAGGAGGGGCTGCTGTCATGAAGGGCTGCCAGCAAGGTGACTGATGGCCTCACCCCTTACCACTGATTGGCTGAGAGGGCTACCTGTTGTGTGGCCCTGCCCCTCTCCACCAATGGGCAATAAGGGGCAGGGCCACATGGTGGACAGCTCTCGCAACCAATCAGCGGCAAGGGGCAGGGCCATATGATGGACAACTCTTGCAACTGGCCAGCCGCCTCCTCAAGTTAGGAGCCATGAGGCAACTAAGAGACTCGGTGCAAATTGAAGGCTGGTTACAAAATGCCTCAAACAAAGGAAGATGCAAATCAAGGTTATGGTCCATTAGCGTATCTGTGTAAGCAAACTTGACATTCTTAAATCTTCATTCTCATAAGCATCTTATTTTTAAGGCGAAGACAAATTAGGTTTAAACAAGTCGCCATGTACACAAGAGAATAAAGGACAAGTTAATCAGTTTTTCCCCCAAAAGTGTGCCCAGTGTCATGGTAGACAGAGTAAATGAAAGCAATGGTTACTTCAGCGTGCGCCTAAAGAACAGAGTTTGGTATGACTATACTAAGCACTGAGATTTTAAAAAGGAGGAGCAGAAGCAATTTTAAGGACATACACCTTGTGAGCATCTTGCTATGAATTTTTCTTCTTGTCTTTTTTGGCTTAAGCTATTATTACTCCTGAAAAAGCTCATATAATAGATGAGAAAATAATTATAAAATGCACATTGGGCTATACCTCAGACTTTCAAGCTCAATGTAAGGGGTCAAGAACTGTCCTCTTTAAGCATAAGCATGAGCTGCAAAGTCCAACAAATTTAGTCTTCTGTGCAGTTTCCATTTAAGCTCTCATACTAATCTGGGGCTGCTAGCCTCAGACTGCTCAGGAAAAGACCCTCTGGATAACTTCTAGCTGGGAATTTTTAGAAAGGCACTAGATTTGTCAAGAGAAACTTGCCCATAAACAACTGGAAGTCATGTGGGCTCTATTATTCACGTGGTGAAGTAACAGAATAGTAGCCCCTCATGTTCACACACTCTT